GTGGATTTTGCTTCTATTACTACAACAGTGGCAATGATATAGTTTAGTGCCTTAAATACATCTCAGTTCTGTCATTTCAGAGCAGAGAACTCTGAGACAGAAATTGCTGATAGCCATTTCAGTAGATCAATAGGAGAGGATGTCCATTGCACACCCCAATTTGTTCATACCATAGTGCACATAGTTCGTAGGGTTTGAGTGTTTGGGGTTTTTTGTTTGTTTGTTGGGGTTTTTTAAGCACACTATGTGTAGGGCCAACTCTACTTTTAAAGCAAGACATTAGCTTAACTCCTAGTTCAAGGTGCTCATAACATTTCATCTAGCTTGTTAAATTTTGCCTGGGTTCCAACAACTGACAGTGCCTGAACTTAACAAAACACCTTTCTTTCACTAAGCTTTCAATCTCATCATGCACTTAGCCAAGTCCATTTTAGCAGTTTGAGCCAAACCAAATAGAGAACAACTTTGATGCAATAAGCTAAGAGTATGATTACTGGAAGCACTGGTTAACTGGAAAGCATCTCTTTGTAGATGCTTTGTGTAAGAGTCATCAAAATAATTGCAGTACTTTGGCAAAAGCAAAACAAGGAGCAGAGAGTATTACTAGAATGCACTGTCTGCTTTACAACACTGTGGTGACAGCAGCAATTTTATTTCCCCACTGAATTATTACCTTCAGAAGACTACTTGGCAGTAATCAGAGTTTGGCTGCAGAAGGGATACATAAGCAATGAACAACACAAGGTTTACAAGCAAAGAGAAAGGATTTCATTAACCTAACCAACATAGTTGGGGAAAAAAAAAAAAAAGAGAGGAAAAATACCCCAAACCCAACCCAAAAAACCCCTCAGAAGTCATCAACATCTTTCAGTCTCTTACATGCTACAAACCTGAGGCAGAGTTTCCGGACCTGAAAGACAGTTTGTCTCTCTCCTGTGCCACCCACCCAAACCCACATGGCTTTGGTGTGGTGATAGAGCAAATCTAGTTACATTAAGATCTCAAGTCTCCTGCTGTCATGATTCAAGATAGCTTGCAGGAAGCTCATCCAAATAGATTTTAATCTGGTTTTGCATTTGGATTTTCAGTGTTATCTAGAATCCACATTTTTACAGCTGCCAATGCAACCCATGGGGCTTGCTCCCCTAAAACATTTACTGCAAATATGGAATACAGCTGAAGTATTTGAAGATAATCTTGATGAGTTTTGAGTAACCCGGATCTGCTCCTCTCAGTCCCACTGTGCCCCTTCCTGGACCTGTAGCTCTCAGCTGCTGCCTGACCATGGCACAAGGGTGAGAAGAAGGGAGGGAAGCTTCAGCAACACCCTGACCATACCTGGGCTTCCACTCAACTGCCTCCTGCTCTTGCCTGGGTGAGGGGAAAACCCTCAAAAACAAACAAAAATGTTAACCTTTTTAATTGAAAAAAAAATCATTATTTCCTTTCAAGGGGAAATTCTGAGTATTTGAAGTCCCAACTCAGAACTAAGTTCATTAAATACTTTCCAGTGAATGAAAATACCCAACCTGTGAATAGTCCTACCCAGTGAGTGCTGAAACACCATAGCTTACAATTTGGTATGTTCCCCTGTTGACTCCTTTAAAGCTGTTCAGCTGTGTCATGGCATTCCTTAATTGAAAGAAAGTAAGAAAAAAAGATAAAAATGAAGTGATTTTAGTAGGGTGTCAAATATAGAAAACCTAAATTATTCAACAGAATGTATTAAAATAGGAAAAGGTCACTTATGGGGAGTGATTAAAATCATTGTTGGTCACTACTACTACCAAAACTGTAGAACTGGGAAAGAGAAATCCAAAGTTTTGTTTTTTGATGTCATGGTTTATGTCTTAATCTTAAATGATCTGATCACCAGACTGAAGGGAAGTGTTCTTTCTCTGAATCTTCTAAAGAAGGCAATGCTAATGTGTTTATTTGGCACTTCAACACATTTGAGTCCAAGCAACTAGGTAATGGTTTTCATCAGCCTAGCAACCTGGCATTTCCAATGACTTCAGCAGCTAACAAAGGCAGGAAATATTGGAACTCTCTTTGGGAAGGCTGCAGCAACCTCAGTCAAATTCCAGTTTGACAGTTTATTAAGTCTTCACCGCATTATGAAAAAACATGCTAATGTCAGAAAGTAACATGGCATTGAGTACACAGAGGGTTGTGCACAACTCCATCTCTCTTCCATTACCCCAGCCAAAAAACATGGCTATAGTATTCCCCACCGACTGAGTAGGCAGAGTGCAGTTTTGAAAGGGAAGAGAGCAGAGCAACTCAGCTTTTCTTCTCCGGGTTCTGCACGCCTCAAAATATGGTTTCCTCATTAAAATGCCATCTCTTTGGTCTCAGTTGATCTTCTCAACCCAAGAACAAAATGCCATGCTATTATATTGAAAAACATTCAATCACATTTATTAATTCTTCGAACAAATTTACAGATCAAGGAACTGCAATGAAGAACAAACAAACAATAGAGAAATTGGGAAAGTTTCAAGCTAAAAACCCTCTAACCTTAAAAAAGGAGACATGTTAAAAGATGAAAGGACACTCAGACACTTGGTTTACATGCCAAAACACAGGCTCAGGAAATCAGTCCATTAGGAAGTGTGTCAGTAACTGTTATTCAGAAAACAAAGAGTTATCCAAAACTTCTCTATAGCAATCTAAACCATCCTTTGTATTTAAATCTTCCTTTTGGCCCAACACCTTTTCCATCTGTTTTTTTCCACTCCTCTGGCTTCAGGAATTTGGAGGTTTTTGTGGTGTTGGTTTCTTTTTATTATAAACACCAGCACTAAGGTCAAAGATTGCTACACTGAAAGACACAAAAATTTACATTATGCTGTGATGCTTACTTATCTTGAAGTCATACGTTTGTTTGTCTAGTGGTGTGTGGTGAGCAACATTCTAGATGAGGTAGATTGGAGAAATATTTATATCACTATAATGATATAAAAACTGCAGGGGAGAGGGAATGAAGTTGGCACAG